ATCCGAGGTTCGACTATCGGTCGAATTCTCCTCTCCAGTACCCTGGCATAGACTTTCCCGGGGAGGCTGAGGAGTGTGATCCCCCTATAGTTGGAACACACCCTCCGGTCCCCCTTCTTAAAAAGAGGAACCACCACCCTGGTCTGCCAGTCCAGAGGCACTGTCCCCGACCGCCATGCGACGTTGCAGAGGCGTGTCAACCAAGACAGCCCAACAACATCCAGAGACTTAAGGTACTTAGGGCGGATCTCATCCACCCCCGGTGCCTTGCCACCGAGAAGCTTCTTGACTACCTCAGTGACTTCAGCTTGGGTGATGGACGAGTCCACCTCTGAGCCCTCAGCCTCTGCTTCCTCATCGGAAGACATGGCACAAAGATGTAAAGACATATAGTATAGGAAGGATACATCACCTGGTTAACAGGTGTTTGATGACTAAGAAACTCGTATGTGATAAAGTAGGTGTAGGTGATGACAGGGAAGTCAGGAGCATTTTCATCCACACTCAGTGGGTCTGGGATTCCCCTCATCCTGCCCACTCTCACTGTGACTGATGCCTGGCCCACTATCAGATCTGTACAAAAGAACACGACTGATCTTGACATGATAAACAGTAAGGTCACTCTTGTATGGATGAAATGACATGGCTGTTTACTTGGGAAACTAAAAAGAAACAGGAGCCCATGTTCACAGGCTTCAGATATGCTACTTGACACAGTTCACAGTCTCACCAGTCATCTCAGCCAAGCCTCTAAAACGATGTCTTTCCTCAGGGGAGATCCATGAAGCATCCAGGCAAGAGAGCTGTGGGAGACTGTCCACAGTGAAGCCGGGGTAGGAGGGCGCAAGCGTGAAAGGGTTTCCCTCCAGAACCAGTGTCTTGAGACAGGGCAGTGTGCTCAATGCATGCAGCAGGGTGGGCTGGTCCTGAAACTCACAGTCACTGAGATCCAAACACACCAGCTGTGGCCTGAGGTCAGACAGAGCCACTGATTTTACAGGGTCCTCCTGGGCTCCATAACCCCCACTATACACAGCAGCTTTCTAATTTCCCCAGGCCAACTAAAAACCAACTAAAACTTTAAAGTCAAAATAATAAATCAGTTCACTAGTTGGTTTACAGAATTTAATGTTCAGTTTGGGTATATTTATTTAATTGTATCAATCACTTGAGTTTCAAAAGTTCAGTTACAAAGTAAACGTTTAAAAAACAAAAACTTATGTCCCAACTTTTCCAATAGATTTTTTTGTCTATGAAACCAAACTGAACATCTGTGGGTTAAGACTGTTGCTCAGATAAAACAAATAATTTGAAAACAGCTTTGCACTCTGGAAAACCTAAATACCCGATTTTTGAATTTCTGTAAGAAAAAAAAAAGATAAATTAAGTAAACAAACAAGCAATATAAATAAATAGTGGGCAGAATAATCCGTGACCCCTGCATTTTTAAAAATTTCCACTCATTCATTCAGGACTTTCCTTTAGTTTTCACTCATGTGTATGTGTTTGTCCAAATGAACTGTCTTGTTATGGTTCTGTACATGCTGTATGTCAAGTATTCTCATGTCTCTCCTGCTAAAGAGATCTTGATCTTAGTGAGATTTCCTGACTAAATAAAGCTGAACCAGCTAACTACTCCACAAGAAAAACTGTTCCCAGGGTGTGTCGTACTCCTCATGATGAGTGTAAAGTTTTTAGCACTTTTAATTAAATTTCTGATTTAAAACAAACAAAACAAAAGCTTAAGAAATCTTGGGCTTCTGACTTACTAATATGACCATATCTGATTTAGTGAACTGATCTGAAAAGCAAATAAATTGGTCTGCACTAAATAAATAATCAGCTGACAAATGCAGAATGGAATAATGGGTGACATTTTGTAAAAGTGTGCGTTCCTCCAACACTGGTGGTTCTTTTAGGTAATAAAAGTTTTTTTTGCCTAACATCATCTACTGTTGTCATCATTGTGTCAACACTTGCCAGTGTTTCCTTAGTCATCACTGAAAATCAAACACAAACCCATCAAATGTATGAAATTACTGGTAGACAAACCTCCAGTGAAGCATAATGGTTTGAAGTGGTGTGACCTCACTGGCCTAATTTACCAACAAAGAAACTTACAAAAATATATTTGAGCTTTTCCTTGACCTGGTTTTGGGTTACCAGCTGATTTCCTGTGTGTATGTGTGCGTAAACTAACCAGTGTCTTCCTGTAAGATGAGTGACGTCTTCATGGGACCCTAGGTTGTTTGAACTGAGGCCAAGGTACTGTAGGCGAGGAGGCGGTTGGCTGGTGAGACTGTTTAGAGCAGATAAGCAGTTGGCACGAAGCTCCAGAATCTTTAAAACACAATTAGACAGTTAATCATCATGACACCAGCTACATTTTGATCTATGAGTTCACACTTCCAGGTGTGTTGCAATACTGGACATACATCAGCCAGTGATGTTGTAGCAGGTATTTAACTTTCAAAGTTCAAAGTGTTTATTTTGTCATATGCACAGTTAGGAAACATGTTTCCCTGTACAATGAAATTCTTACTTTGCCGTCCACATGAATGCCACAAAATACAAATGAAACATAAAGTAGATAAATAAGTAACACAAAATCTAAGGCACTTTAAGCAGCAAATGTAGCAATAAAATAAAAAATATATAAGAATATAACAGAATGTATGCTGCATGGGAACTGAACTTTGATGTGATGGAAGAATAGTTTTCCACTCTCTATGATTAAATTGTAAGTCACCCTTTAATGATAAACCTGTGAAATTTCAAAAGTGATAAACTGCTGAGAGCATTTGCATCTACCTGACACAGGACTGTGGCTCACCTTCAGAGTACTGGGGAGGTTCTCTACAGGGATTTCTGAGATTTTGTTTGCACTCAGCACCAGTTCCTCCAGCTGCGAGAACCTTAACAGACCACTGTCGACGACCGACACCTGAACAGTCAATACATCAAGTACATCAGCTGTGCTGTCACAAGGTGTTAAGTGACTGCAAAGATGCCCTCTGGCACTAGCAGCAGATGGAATGAAAAATGTGCCTACTTTCAAGATCCTCTGTTTATTTTTTTTACCCAAATGTCCATTTTGGGATTTAGGGGTGCAATGGCCAATTTGAGATTCCATGGCTTGCTCTAACTTTTTTCAGCTTCTATTCCAGCTCTTTTTTGGAGTGTGAACAAGTTCTGGGCATATAGCAAATGCCACAGTGGCATCACAGGAAGGCAGGTGTAGAGAAAAGCCTCCCAGCATGCACCAGGACAACACATTTATGGATACCAGTATCTGTTAATGCATGTTTCTGTAACACTATTATTGTATTTGACATTTTGTTCTGCAGTGTTCCAGCGGTTTCTACAGTTCACCTGTGGTTATTTCAGTCAGTTTCGATCTAAAATAAAGCACAACATTTAGGTGTATGGAGGGGAAAAGATCAGTAAACTCACACTCTTGTCTACAATACGAAGTGAAGTAAAGTAGCTGTAGATGAAGTCTGTGCGCAGGCGGTGAGGTGTGAGCACGGCCAGCTGTCTCAGGGCTGCAGCTTGGGGGCTCCACGGTTCAACATGGTGCCATGGAGAATGGGGACAGTTCAGCAGATCCAGGAGCGTGTCCGTCTCCTCTGCTCCTGCACTGTCTTTGGTCTTTCTCTGAGAACAAGAGCACAGTGTTTGTTCACATGCCTATACAATAGCAAGCTAACAGACATAATGAACATTTTAGATCTAGGAAACACTACAACCGATTTACGGATGAAAAAACTCACCCAGCTGCCGTATCCACAAGGAAAGTCATTCAGACAGAGGCGCTGAATCAGCTTCTCTAACACAGCAGAAAGTGTGTTGGAGCTCATTCCTGTCAGCTGTAGTTAGCCTATAGCATTTGTCATGTTAATTAGTTAAAAGAAATGCGGTATCTAAAGTATGTAATGAATTCCTGGTCAGTTTGTGTTTGGTCAGACTTTCAGGGATAACGTCCCTAGTGTTTGTTTACAAATGGTTGTTGCCTGGCAACAGCTCACCTCCAAGACAGTGCAGGACTTTAGTGTTTGTGCAGGTGGAGCAGTTACACAAACACATTGACTCTGAAATCCTCATTTCTCTGCTTCGTAACTATTAAAACTTTAGAATTAGAAGAACTTAAGAAAATATATTGATATTAGGTTTAAAGGATATTTTTAAACCAGGAAATTGATTTAGCTTAAAACGGCCTGAGATTGTTACTACATTGGTGATAGTGTGCTCTTTGCGGACAGTAACAGACAGTGACATTTATGTTGGACATAATTCATGAGTGGAATATTAAAGTCTATACCAAATTTCATGGCAATCCATTTGGTGAGGCAGGTCACTCAAAATAACGTGTTCACTGTTTCATGATGACTAAATTAGATTGACAAATTTTTAATCACCAGATAACAGAAATAAGAGGTTTTACTGCTAATCAATACATGGGGATCTTGAATTAATTATAGACTGATAAAGCTGAACTGAAACCTTTTACTTATCAGGAGCAGACGTCCCGTGGTGTCTGAGCCAAAAGTATAGAGATAGAGAAAGAAAAAAAAAACGGTGAAGTTTGAGGAAATATGTTACTAGGAAATTCATTCCTCATCAAAAAATCATTTTGCCATGGGCATCACCAGAGGAATCGGAATCACTGCATCATCACTGACAAATCTGGTATTTGCCCAAGCTGCAGTCAGACCGTATGAGTCGTTATGGAGCCACCTAATTTTCCATCTCACACACTTCAGTAGGAAGGAAAAAGAACATAAGCCTTAAAACTAATTCAGCTCCTTCATGTGTTGAAAAAGGAAAGACAGGAGCAATTAGATTCAGGAAGAACAATGGTAAATAGCCTCTCTTAAGGTTTGATGGGACCATAACAGTAATTTATGAAACTCCCAATCTCTGCAATCTATCAGATTGTCAGCAGTTTTGTTTTTCATTCAACCTATCAACATCAAACATCTATGGCATTTGCATTGCCTCCCCCCACTAAACCACTGTAGTGGTGACAATGCCCGACAAATGCAGAATACAAGATTTGTTTGATAATGCCACAAAAACGTCATCTACCACACAAAAAGTATGCAACAAAAAATCCTGCTTTTCGATATATAAGCACAGTTTGTACCATTTGAGGAGCATTAACTAAACAGCAAACAGACAACATTCTCACCATGTCTTTTGGCAAAGGTAAGCTGTTTAAATGAAAGTGACATTATTTAGAGTAATTTTTTTTTTTTACAAACTGTACAAAATTAAAAAATGTCAAAGTCCCTCAGTATCTGTGTTATACTGCTTCAGAAGTATCTTGACCATTGATTTAAGGAAACACTGAAAGGTTGATGTATTACTATTTTATCAAATGTTTATTTACTAAGAGCCTAGAATATGAAAAGAGCTTTTAAGCAGGACCCTCTTCTAGCCTATTATTTTGTCTCAGTATGACCTTGGGTTTTGTCTATGTGATGTTGATTCCAGTCAGACTTAAGGAAGCCTCTTGACTTGCTATGCAGATGACCCCATTGTATTTTTTCATGCACAATTTCTTCCAGAGCTCCTGTTTTCCTGCATTGTGATGATGCACATCTCCTTTGTGGTCCCCCAGCCTTTAGGGAGACTTTGTGAGAACATGCCATTACCTTTGGGGAATCTACTGAGTGCTGAAAGCAGTTATGTAAGTAAATATTTTAAATGTATCAAATCTACAGTGCACTTTTATATGATATGTATTCAACACTAAAGCCTAACATGACACAAAGTTACTTTCTTGCTGTAGACAGAGGGATCTTTTGAACCCATTCTTTAAAGTTGTTACCGCTCACAGCCTCCGAGCTCTGTGCTCCATCACTGATTCTGTCATAATGACTCTCACTTCATCTAGGACCATTATATAGTTCATGGACATCTATCACCAAGATATAAAGACTTAGCGCCCCTTGAGGGAATATCTTTGCCTGTGGGGAACGATGCCAACACAATCCTGGACTCCATGTGTGCCATCAGTGATTATCTTGACAACCACCTGCCAACAGTCATCAGGAATCTGACACAGAAGCATGAGGACATCCTCAGCAACATCACAGCATTTCATAATCAGTTCAAAGCAGCTGCTGAACTGATAAACAGATGTCAAAATACAATGGTCCCAAAGCCATGCCACAGACATGTAACGACGTCAGACGACTTTAGCAAAAAAATATTTGGCTTCAGAATCATTCAGTCTACTGTACTGTGGGTGAGGAATTTCAGCTCCTTTAATCTTTCCTGAAAACACTTTGGTTAGCAATTTATCTATCTATTAATTTATTTAACAGTAATTTAAGTTTTTTAAAATATTTATTTCTAGTTGCCCTTACTTATTCTATTTGTAGTGAATGATGTGTTCAACATTTGGAGCCTCATGCTGCTTCAATCTGACTGGAGACTGTAGTACAGGATTATTTTACATGTAAATCTGCAATAATAAAAAGTTCAGTTCAAACCACCATTTTTGCATTGTGTTGTCCTTGATAAAACTATATTATGAGAGGGTTCCTGAGTTTGTCCAATTAGCATGTTATGACCATAGATGATGCAAAATGTAGGACGTTATCTTAGGAGTCAACTTTGTGGTGGCTCATTGTGAGTGAGAAAACAGAAGCAATGAAAGAAAGTCATCCAGAGCTTAGTTTGCACCAACAGTGTGAAGAGATCTGAAAAAGTGAACGTAGTACTGAAATACGTCTTACCAGGTGTACCGCTTAACTCTAACCTAATATACAATGGCTTCAGGATTGGGACCCCTTCACTTTTCATTGTATTCATTGCATTGAATATTTTATTTTTAAAGGATAAAAATACTATTTTCCCCATACACAATAAAGTGCAAAAAAGGGATCCAAATATTTTCTGAGGCCACTTAATAAAAGGTTTGGGGTTAGTCTGCTGTAGCCACTGAAACTAGTGCATTTTCTTATGTTGTATTCATTATAGTGATCATCATTCTGCTATAAGCAGCACATATTAGGCTATTACGCACTAGGGAAAAGTTCTTTTTTTTTTTTTTTTACTTAGATGAGTAATGACAAAAGATAAAACCATCAAAGAGCAAGGCACACCCAAATTATAAACACTGGTTCAGGCTTGATAACTACTCTGAGTTGTAAATAACTGAATCAGAGGTTTGGCATATAGTGGCCATGTCACGGAATGTGTAAATCTTCTAAGCCAGAGGTTCCCACACAGAGGGAAACCCCACATGATCACACTGAATCCCGAACTTGCCTACTACTAAAAACACGTAGGGGAAAATATTAAGATGTTGATTTTTATCTAAGTTGTTCAAATAAAAGTGATCCTCGAAAGCTGGATCATAGAAACTTTCACCTCAGACAGTCTGTTACCGACTACATCCTCCAGCTCTCATGGACTTGCGTGCTGGTAAGCATCTTGAAGTTGAACCTGGCTCCTACTGGGTTTATCTTTAAACCGAGCTGTGCCACAACTTGAGCTTCTGGTTGCAGCGTTTGCACAACACTGCAAATCTGAATGCAGATCAGGCATCTATTTCTGTGTGCGTGCATGCGTGTGTGTGTATTCAAATCTAATTCATCTCTACTGTGTGCTCTTCCATGTTACTGCTCTAGTCATCATCTTCTTGTGCCTGCTCATTGCGCAAACAACCTGCAAACCCGTTAACGGCCCCTTGAACAGAACCATTCCGATGTTGCGGGATTACGTGCGTGATGCCTTTGACACACTCGTAAGTTTGTCTTTCTTGTTCTTCTTCTAACTAAAATCTAAAACCAGCAAATTAACTGTTGATTTGTTTTTCAACAACTTTTGGGGAGCTATTATCAACATATAGGGCCCACTTACGTTATTTAAAGTAAATAGGATACTAATCATTCTGCAGAATGGACCTGCCACTAGAGGCTACAGCTGATCATTATTGATTACTTAGGCAATCACGTGGGCTAGGTGCTGTGGTGTATTCGGTCGAGGTGGAAGTAAATTTAACGGGTGTTGGACAGATTAATCTGTAACAATGCATCATATGTTATATACTGTTCATATGATTTAAAGTCTGAATCCGCAGGTGTCCGATAAATGCGGCGGAGTAAAAAGCATATGATCACCCTCTGAAATCTACCTAGAAACTGCACTTAAGAACAGAAGTTGATTAAATATGCTGTGGCTACTAGTGAGGCCACCTTGCACTATTGACCAACGTTGCATCTCCTGCAGAATAATTTCGGACTGGTTCCCATCGAGCCCTACTCCCCCCTGAACGCCACAGAGCTGGGCGGGCCGGAGCAGCCCCTCACCCTTCCCCACCTCTCCTACTTCGGCTGCCTAATGAGGAAGGTATCCCACCTGACCCCAGGGGTGGTGTCCGAAAAGCTGCTGTCAATCTGCCAGATCATTATGGACATGGGAAATCTGACGAACCCGCCGACGGCCGAGCAGAACTGCAGCCTTCCCCACATTGAACCAAACCCGTATCCGTACTGGTACGCCAAGTGTCTGCTGCAGCTTCTGGGCCAGCGGCTCTCCAAAACCAAGTTCTGATTTCAATGCGTAGTACAAATGTTGTATTTATTAATTTTACACAGCTTTAAATTATTACTATTTTTGTAAAGTATGGTATCTCATAACAGAGAATGACCTGTTATTTATTCTAATATTATATTTATTGAAAATAAATTATAAGAAGTTTGGTGTTACTTGTTTGTTGCTTTTATTGTGATTCTGAATCATCAGGCATTTTAAAACACATGATGTGTGAAGGCATTTGAGGACTTTGGAAGACAAAAACACCAAGATGCAGCTAAGAAAACCTTTACTTCTTAAAACAAATTAGATACAATACTGAATGTGGGGAGAACCAATGTGGGTAGATCTAGTCTGCAATCATATATCATCCAGTACAACCCCCTCAACACAAAACAAATCAAATCAAACCAGCTGTGATAAGCATTTTAAAATCATTGGATGAGAGGGGGCAAAAAAATTGTAATCACCACACAAAGGCCAAAATGCAGTTGAACGCTAGAACAACAGGGCTTTGTGTCATATAACAAGAAAATAGAAAACTATCACAATAAATTTAAAAACAAAAATTTCACTTGCAATCATGACAATCATTGCTGCATTCAGTAAACAGTTATGGATAAATGTGAACTCTTAATTTGCAACACTGAAAATGCTGCACTATCGTACAAAGTGTTGAATTTTGACAGTGCCTTGATGCTTTGTTTTGTTGACATCAGAGCAACCTGTATATCCTCAGGCAAATGATTTATTTTTTTTACATTGTAGAAAAGTAGTGTCCCATTAAGACACAATCCATAATGAAAGACCACACTTAAAAAGCTGCACATTCATCAAATAAAATGATGCCTTAAAACTCAAGAGTAAACTCAGTTGTTCTGCAGAAGAAGCAAAAGCAGAAGTCACAGAATGTACGTCTACCTGAGGGCTGAACCACAAATAAAAAAAAGACAAAGCAGCCTGCACAGATCTCAGGTAAGGGCACTTTGACCTTCAGACTGATGTACGCCACACATGTACGACTACAGTGTCTAATTTTCAAGTTGTCACATGATGTCAGTAACACAACGAGAGCACTGCATAGGATGAGTGAATGGCTCTCTGATAAGGCTTTTGGTCTTTTTCTGTGTGCCGTGTCTTGATATGGCAGACCGATTGTTTTCTCTTGTGTCTGCCATTAACGTGTTATAAATCAGAGTAACTATGAGAAAAAAAAAATTAAATCAAACCATGTGATGTAACCTGTACCTTTACAGATTATCATTCTTGAGACAGATCCTGACTTGATTTGCTCATAGCGAAATAAAGAAGAATGACGCTCACCAGCGTAGCCCTGAGTGACCAGAGAAGAATGAAAAACGCAGCTACTGCACCTTCAGCCAAAACCTTGTAACACTGTACATGGGAATAAAGTATAAAGATCATCTGTACTGCTATGTTCCCTATGAGGGCTTTAAGTAATATTGCTCCATTATGCTGTGCCTGCATACGTAACACACCATATCTGAAGTGATGTGTAATTTGTAGATAAACTCACTAGAGCGAGCACAGTATGAAGGAGGAAGTTCAGCATGGACGGAAAACCACAGATGCAAATACTACAATCGCTAACTTGCAAAAAACAACATTTACCTGAGTAAATGATGGGCAGAAAACATACAGTAATGGCTCTAGTATCGATCAGGTCTAGGAAGCACACGAGCGATCATGTTTAAGGCGATCCCCTACATTCTGGGCTGAGGCCAACTACAGAGCTTCCAAAAACACAGACTATACTAAAACATCTCACACTGATCTCATCTTCTTGTGAAAAAAAGCCTTATATTCAAACATTACATATGTGAAAGAGAACACAAAATGAACATTCACACAGTATTTCCATTTGTAACACAATATTGTGTTTGTGCATTATGAAAGAAATTTAAATATATGCTGTTCAACAGCAAACCACATGTACCAACATCCAGTAGCATATTTAGAAAATCTTCACTTCCTACAGGTGAAGGTAGTAGTAATTATTGTGATATGATTAAAGTCATTCTTGCACAGTTAATGTGACGTAAAGGTAACACTGCCTGATGGCATTATTCCCAAGAATCAATGTACAGTGGACTAAATATGTGACCGTTGCACATGCAGAGTTAAAGTAAGTCAGACTTACAGCAGCTTGCATTTCGTTTATTCACTGGGGAAGGTGTGGATCTGTGAAAGTCCTTGCAAAACTTTTAGTTAAAGTAGTGATATGTCATATTGATGATTGCTGCTGAAAGGTTCTGGTGGCTTTTAGGTCACCTCACCTCCACTGACAGCAAAGCTACACATCTGCGGGTGGGAGACGGCCTGGATGGCTTCTTCAGGCAGCAGGGATGGGTCGCTAAGGATGGATGTGGTCGTGCTCAGCTGGCGAAGGGTACCAAGCACCACTGAAAGACAATACACCACAAGTGAATCATTAGAACCTGACTGTAAACACAGTCACAGTCTTGCTACAGAGTCCTCTAGACCTAGAGAATGTGAAGGTGCATCACGGCGTGTCGAATGTTGGGATGGGGTGCCATTTTGAGAGGGAGGTGCTGTATTTACCTGCATATATTGTTGTCTTGTTTGGCTAAAAAGTTGCTTAAACTGTTTAGCGTTAGCTGACTGTAGCGGACCTTAGAGATCTAATTCTGCACCCCGTACCCTCTGCGAGACTGTGAGAGGAAGCCAGAATACCCGGAGAGAACCCACGCAGGCACAGGGAGAACATGCAAACTCCACACAGAACGGTACCAGGTCAGCCCAGGCTCGAACCCAGAACTTTCTTGCTGTGAGGCGACAACGCTAACCACCACACTGCTGTGTGGCCAAATTGTGTAAGACCCCTGAGTGTCATGCTGACAAGGGAATTTTACAGAGTTCCCTTACAGCTGATAATCTGTCAGCAGGACACTGAGAAATTTAAGGGACCAGCCCTACTAGGCATGGGGAAAAAAAAACCCTGTACCAGCAGTCTTAAACCTTTACAGTTTTCCACAGGGGTGCAGGCCAGGCCTCCACTGAGCTGCTACAAATCCTCTGACATCACTAATTTATCAGGTCCTCTAAGGGTAACTGCATAAGTCAGAATGAGTCAGGAACAAAAGTGTATTATTTTGAGTGGGAGGTGAAAAAACTATTGGAAAGTGTGGTCATCACACTGGAGTGATTTTACTTATTAAGAGCTGAAATGTGCTGTTAAATTTCCTGTCATGTTGTGGTTGCTTGATAATAAGTATAAAGCGCAGGAAAAAAGACAGAGATAGTGACAGATAAGAAGCAGAAGCTCCTGACTAACTGAATAACACTCTGTGGTGATCAAATACTGTGCAGCTGGAAGAAAGTCCCCTCTGTGCTGATGATCCACAGCCAGTAATCCTTTCTGCTGCAACCATACAGAGCATTTAAGCACTTATGTAAATGCATTGTGGTCAGCTTTTTCCAGTAAAATGATTTCTTAAATGTCACGTGAACAAGAAACCTGGTTAATAAATGCATTCTCTGATTAACCTCATAACCTGGTTTAGGGATGGGTATCGCTTAGGTTTTTGCTGATACCGATGCTAAAAACGATACATTTAAAATGGTGCCATGCTACTTTGACAGATGTACGGGCACCGAAGTGAGGCACCAAAATCTGCATTGTGATTTGGTCCAGTAGATACTGACTGTGCCATATTGGCCCTGGGTTTTGTTACCCACCCCTGACCTGGTTTCTCTGCATAGCCATGGGGGGGGAAAAAAAAAAAAAATAAATAAAAGGTAAAGGCACTGATAATATAGGTAACCTTTGTGTGTCTATCTGTGCTGGAAATAGACTTTTGCTTACTGGGTCTGAGAACCGGAAGGGAACAGTGCTGGTGGAGCCATTGCAGTGTGGTCTGATACATCTCTGCTCTGTTTGTAGTTGACACCATCCCATTGAATGAATCAAAGAGAGGCTTGATAATGATGCTGAACTAGAATTGAAGACAGTCAAGGATCAATCATACTACAGGGTCAGACATATGTCATTCTGTCTTACCTTCTGTTTCAGCATGTTTGCGTTGGTGCTGCCACTTCATTCTTCACTTTGTAGTCTCCATAAAGTAAAAAGTAATACTAGTAAAATATTTTCTTGTCAAAATGCTTAAGCCATACTCTGTGTGTTATTAATGAGCAACAAGCTGTGGGAGAGCTGTCTCACTGAAGGATACAATCCAGAACTTCCAGTTCTGAATAGTGCGGTTCTTCACATATTCTTTGAACTTCTCTTGCATGTGGTCAAAGCGATGCCGCCTGATGGGCACCCCTGTGGCAGGTAGCTGCTCCTGACATAAGCTGTGGTTAAGCGGTGACAGGAGACAGAGATAGGTGAGAGTTCACACATTCAGTGTCTGTCAAACAGTATATAGTAAGAGGGGTGAGATATATGCAGTGTTTTTAACATACTTAATGGAGGTGTTGAGCTCCTCTATCTCTTCTCGTAGCCTCTTGACCTCTTCCTGCATCTGCTGCCTCTCCTGCTGGAGCTTCCCAATGTGCTCCACTGTCTTCTGTAATGTGACTGCATTACTGATCTAAATGCACAAAGTTGATGAATATGGTAGGAAGGCAGAAAGCAGGTCTTCAGAACAATATGTGATGCAAACACTGAGCACAAAACATGACCAAATGTCCTGAACCTAATATAGATTTATTAAGAAGGGACACAGGTGCCCACACTTACATTTGATTGTGACTTTAGAGTGGGCACTAGGTTGCAGAGTGTTTTAAAACCAATATTTATGTTTGATCGTCTCTTCTGCTCTGCAGATATGTGTGTTGTCCTCCGGCTCTGCCACACAACAGCAGTGAAAATATTACACAGAGGCTTACTGAGAGTGTGTCACATGTTACAAACAGGGTTACACATTTGCTAGGGGATTAAATTCAGTCTGTTCATGCATGTTTAGTAGTGGAACATAAGGATTTCCCTTTGCATCTTAATATATAAAGTGGCATTTCAGTTTCAATGAAAAACACTTTGCTGTTCAAATAATGAAGCACTCAAACTACCAAATCATTTTTGTAAAAAAAAGCAAACCAAAAAGAACCCCAAAACAAAACAAACAAACACACACAAACCTGATTTTGTTCATTCTTTACCAGAGCTGTGCTGCTGCTGATAAGAGACTGGGGACTATGAACTTGATCTAACACACCACATGGTGACCCTGGACCTGATCCTGACTGACTGTGAGCTGAAAAGAAAAACAAAAACACTTTTGAGATGTGGCAATCTGGAGTTACAATGTCCTTTCTGCACAGAGTAAACACTCACCAACAGCAGAGGAAGCTTTCTGAGTTTTGCGGCTGGAAGAGTAAGACTTTTCTTTGGGGACAATTGGCTGGGGAGACTTCTGCGTCTGAGGCACAACTTGAAATCCAGAAGGCTGAGATATGATATGAAAAGACAATAAACAGGAAATAAAAAAAGAGCTACAAGACCAAGACACACTACAAAAACAAAAAAATAACCCCCCCAAAAAAACTTATCTTACAATGAAACGGATTTTAAACATATGATTTACACATGAACGGTGTTGCAGTTTTGCTAAGTTTTGCTATTTTCTGTTGGCACCTCAGTCAATTCAAGACTCAAATAAGAAGAAAGTTAAACAGTGAGGGAGACGCTGACAGAGCTGAACACATACATGTCCAAGATGAGATGAAGCGATGACCACATCTGCTTTCAGAGGTGTCGGAGTAACAATCACAGCATTGGCAGGACCTGGAAAAGGGGCTGAGAGGATGAACGTTGACAGCAGGGCAATGCAGTGTTAGCTTTCATGTGCATGTGGTACAAGCTGCAGTGACTCATAATTTTACATCACTGTTGAAGAAAATCAATATGACAGAATAAGAAAGGCTTGAGCTCCATCTGATGGTCATGAAGTTACAGTGACATGCTTCCACTGCTAAATCAACAATGTTAAAATGCACAGCTTTTCCAATATCTTGATCTTGAGATTGGAAACAGACCTGTGAGGATGAGGTGGGGTGGGGGGAGGGTGGTAGCGGGAGCTATCCTCTGCACGGGGCGGTTTTTGATGGTGCTGGATGGCTGAAAGGGGCGAGGCAGGACAAATGTCTGAGGGTGCTGGGCAGGAGTAACAGGCAACGGAGCCATGGGTTGGAGCTGGGATGGAGGAGGTGGAGGCTGTGTGGATATGGAACTATACTCTGAGCCATGGCTGAAGGTGGTGGCAGCATCACTGGGTGTGACAATTGAGGAGGCGGTGTGTGTAATCACAGATGGTGCTATGGTCTCATCCAGTGCTGAGGGAACCATGGGTGATGCTGAGGTCATGTCCTGACCTGGAAGGCATTGTGCCAAAGCATCATGGGATAATGGCTGAGAGACTGAGGAAACTACTGCTTGATCACTGGGCTCCACCTGCCCAGTAAACAGAGGCATGTAATTTGGTATATAAGCAGCATTACCACCACCACCTGTTTGACTGGTTTGACTGGCCATGGGAGAGGGGATTGGCAGGGGGCCAGGAAGGGATATTGTGGTTGGCTGCATGGAGGACATTAACTGGGCCTGGTAAGGGATGACAAAAGAAAAGGGAACAAACACACTTAGACCTTACTTATAGCTCTATATCACACAAAAGAGATGCAGTATATATTAGCTGGAAATGTTCTCTTTTGTGCTGGTTAAGATTATGACAGCAGAGGAGCTGTCTTACTACATGTATTTTTTTTACTTCTCAGCAATTACAACAAAGGTGGATTCAACTGACTTTTCTACCTGCTTACAATTGCTTAATTTTCACAACTGCTGCTAACTTGAACTTAAGATAACACTAGGTTTCCTCAAGTAGCTCTTTAATGATAGGAGGGAACAGCGGGAGGAGACTGACAGAAATATGGGCAAATTGTGTGGTCAAATATTTATATCCATCTCCCTTCACTCAAATAAGTCAGATGCAGAAGATGTTTATCTTCTTACAGAAATACCTACAGTGCTGTATACTGTTTAACAGGTTTATGATACTGAAACCCATAGGCAAATGACAATGTTACACTTCAGACATGTTTTGAACTGGAATCAAATACAAGAGGTCACATTACTCCTTTTTTCAAAAGTCCTGCACTGGCTTTCAGTGAACTGAAGAACAGATTATTATAAGAACACATCTTTAAAACCCTGTCCACGAATGTATTTTACTCATACGTATACTGAGAGACTTATACTCTAAAAAACTCACACTTGATGTGGAGTTTGAGTCACAAATCACATATCGAAAGTGCTATGTAAATAAAGTTTAGTAATATTATTATGTTAAACAGATTTTTTTTGCAACTACATTAGGAGAAAAGATTGTAGAAAATGTGGCAGAAATCCTCATTAACTGACTGTTAAAAAAACTAGGTCTAAATCTAGGACAAATCTAGGACCTTGATCTAGAACTTTAATCATGGTGGTGTGTGTTAGGGGTCTGCCTTAGGTCGGTGTTTACCTGTGACTGAGAGCTGCTGCTGGGCAGAGAGGTGACAGGTGATGCAGTGGGGGAAACAGAGGGGAAGATGGGCTGACGGAGGCTGTGAAATAAGTCTGGAACAAGAGTCTCTATGTTAGCTAGAGGTTAGTGAAACCACACTACTTTGTGTTAGACTAAAGCCAACTGCTACAGCAGAGTTCCTAGAACATGTGCACTTGATTCGTGTAAAGTGTGCGCCATTAGTGTGTGTGCAGTACTACTACAACTATGGGTGGTGCCTAACGACTACCTTGCAGAGGGTCAAAGGAGTCCATGAAGTCTAGGTTGGGTTGTAAAGGGATGAGTCCTGGTTGGATCATGTCTGCGTTTCCTGCATGAGCTGTGAAGGGTAAAGAGACAGAGGTAGGGAGAGAATAGAGATGACAGCAAGTGTTTTGACAAATACATAACATATTGTTGTGATCCAGCCCCAGAGAGGTTTAACAAATAGAGAAAACAGCAAATGAACATCAAAAGTAGGCGTTTTTCTAAAAAAATCAATTATTAAATGGAGTACTGTATGAGTAAGAAGATTCTATAAATCTAATTATGATGTGTCTGATTTCATTTGAAAATAGGAAGCTGATGATGTTCTCACCAATCTCTCTTGGATTGGGCCAGGGTATGGGCTGGTGCGAGGCCAACGTAGAGAACAGTGTGTCTGAAAACTCAGACATTAGAACATCCATGTCAAAAAGGGGGTCCATCTCCATAGGTGCAGGTGTTTCACTGTGTTTACGAGGAAACCGGCGTGCAGGAGTCTCTTCATCCTGATTAAAGGAGACACGGAGCATGTCTGGAGAGACTTCCCCAAACAGTGAGAACTGCTCCTCCGGCCCCTTGGAGTATTCAAAATGCAACCACCATGCCAGTTAATGACACACAAGCATGCAATGTCAGTGCAGTGAATATGACTGGCACTAGACTAATTTCAACACTGTGTCTCCAAACTTCATGCATATGTCTTCATCAGTGTATATATAAGCTAATTAAGGCTAAACTAGGTGCGAGCAGTCAAAAGAACACTGTGCAGAGTGCAAGATGAACTGTTAATAGTATTTCAAAAATGTGAAGGTGACTGGGCTACCACGGGTTAATGCCATTAGAATCAACAACTGGATGAACAGATGCTGATAGTAATGTTTATGCTAATACTAACTGATGGCAGTGTTACATACCTTAAGCAAGCTTGAGAGGTCGTCATCCTTGTGCTTCTGTAGCTATTAAAGAGTTAGCGGGTGCCATATTAGATACACATTGTTCTGTGACAGGTCAAGTCAGACTTCCACAAAATCTGAAGAATTACCCTGACAAAACTAAAATATTATTTTAAAAAACTGAACAATAGAGTAGTACCCTTTTCTTAAAGTATGTTCTCCACTTGTGGTATTCTCTTATGACAATTTCAATTCTCCTTTTCCAACATTTCCCCTCTGTGGCAATGGCCTGTAGAAGAAAGAGGGAGATGGGAACTAAGCCAAAGTCCAGAACAAAACACACAGCACAAAGAAAGGAAGTGACAAAGGAAACATAAAATCAAATGACAAGCAAGAGCCTGAACATATAAATGACCCACATGGGGATTTCAGTGACAAGAAACAACAGCAAGTTACGGCTGCTGTTTGTACACTGCATCTTTACCTCTGCAGGACGATGGACGTCTAAGTCCATGTTTCCATCAAGGGGAGTCACAAAATGACAAACGGGATTCTCCCTTTTCTCCACATCTGGGGGTAAAAAAAAACAACTCACCACAGTCAGTTACTGTTTTTTATCGTGGTATATAACATTTACATCACAATAAAAAAATGTATCGTGTAGTAGCAGTGACTTCATTTATCATGTATACAGACTACAACTTCACCAGACCCTGCCAACATGAACAGTTTCAGCTGCAGAGTCATAGCTCATGAAAAGCTTGACCCAGTTTGTGTTTATTTTTGTTACATGAATGCAAGTTGCTATTGGCCACTGTCATAAAACTGCTCATGGCATGTAAACCAACTGTTATTAGACCATCTAGAAGACTGCCAAGATTTTTTTTTAGACACCATAAAACACAGACCCCACCTCTCTGCTGTAATAGAACATAAATATAGCCTTATATAAGAATTCTAGTTTATGTTGCAATGACAGTTAAAAGCAGGTTATTGTCAACATGTAAGATGAGAGAACAAATAAGGTCTGGTGACATCCTGGGCACTGCAGAAGGCAATACATGCTGAAAAATAGACTTATGAATATAAAGACTACATTGCCAACATAAACTAAACACCACAGTCTACACTATGTGGATACCAAATGAAAGAAATGGTGTGGAGCTCTTACACTGCATATACCAGGCTCTCCATATGGCGTTGTTGAGGCGGATCTTGTCTCTCCAAAGCAGCTTTAGACCTTTGAAGTTCTTCCATTTGGGAGATACCAACTTACCACTGAAAAGATAAGGGAAAATAACAATGAAACTATTTTTACAAATGATGGAACAGATACGATGTTTCAACCTAAGCAAGAAGATAATTAGTGTCTCAACGACTCAACAGCAGTTAAGACCCTAAAAGATGTTCCCCTTTGCATTATCAGCAGTGGTGCTTGTACAGCCTCAAAAGGCAATTCCATAGGCACAAAAATGCCTGCACTATCCTCTAAAGGATCTCGCAGTAATGTGATGCCTTAAACTTGGATTTGAAAGCTGTTTTATCATGAATTCATTCTGCTCAAGTTCAAAAACTTATCACCAGCAGGAAGAAATGTCAAAGTCTTCCTAAGTGTCACCTTACAAACCTGATTTTGACACAAATACTGACATCTGACAATGACCTCTAGCAAGAGTGGTTCTTATGTGCTGTAACAGCGAACCAGCGTCCATCACTCCGTGTAAGGTAAGCGGACACATTTGGTAACAGGATTTACAGGTCTCACTGATATACTGACCTGAGTTTGGCTTCTAATGCCCATGCAGTGGGCTGAGGAACCAACTTTCTATACATGTAAATACAAACTGTAAAAAAGTGTCATAAGTGTGTAACTGTGGAAAAATAAACTATACATGCATTGTAAAAGCTTGCTATTCTTCTCCCACTGAAATGTGGCTGCTGCCACAACAACAGACGAGCTCAATTCTAGCCTGAGAATCAAGTGCACACCCTACATAATTTAAAAAGACAAAAAAGGGTCACCACGACCAGCAGTGGTGCATCAAGAAATAAAGCACGCAAAGCAAACAAGATGGAGTGTCTTAAGATCGAGCTTAAGTTAGAAGTATACAGTAGTTACAACTCTGATATGAAAACAAGGAATAAAAAAAAAAACTGATAAGAAACAATGTAAGAACGTAGATGTCTGAGGAACTAAGTGTACACAGGTGTGGCTGAAATTCATGTTAACATCATAGTGACATTACTGTGACTATGGACACTCGGTTCACTGGACACCTGCCATTTCATTCTAAAGCAAAGAGTCAAACACACAATAATGTACAGACAAATGTCGAATACCATGACTAAAGTGTATATTCCATTTTAACAGGACAGGAGACAGTGATCATCAATTAGAAACTGTTCTTATTTCTGCTCGGCCTTGATGAGGCTATGTTTACCGCAATCCAAGGGGTTTAGCTTACAGTTTCACTCTTTC